GTTTGTTTGTTTGTTGTCGTTGGTCTTGCTATTGTTGCTGAACTCTCATTACTGAATAATTATTGTTGCTCCCCCCTCTTGTGACCATTGTGACATGTACGCATCGCGCTCTCGCGTGGGACTCCCTGGCAGTTGATTCAGACGATGCGCCCTCGGCGCTCAGGAATCATGCTCTCGCTTTGGTTTTTTTCGAGATTTACTTGGGAATCGCGCTATCGCTCGAGACTTGCTTCAGCAACCCACCTGCTCGACCTCGTCGCCTGGGCCCGCCTTCCCGATCTGCCCGCTATGGGTCTGCCCACCCGATCTGCCCGTCTGGTTCCACCACTTGTTTTCTGCTCCTTGCCCCCCTCCTGCTAATTTCTCTCGCGCTCCATTATTCTCCCTCCCCCTTCCACCCGTCCTCTCTTCACTTGGTTTAGGGGCTGCACTACATGCACGTGGCAGGTAAGGAAGACGTACCCCCAAGGGGGTACGATCGAAGACGACGAGGGCGGGTACCGAGGGTTTGGGATGTACGTATTGATTGGCACGTGAGCAGATAGGAGCGAGCATTATTAAAATGAATAATGTTTTAGTTGTCGTTGTTGCAGTTGTTGCTGTTGTTGTTGGTGCTGTCGTTGTTGTTGTGGTTGCTGCTGTTGTTGTTGAATTCTCATTCTGAAGAACAAGTATTGTTGATCCCCCCACCGGTGCATATATTTTTTCTCCATCAAAGTGTGCCCCTCGACGCTCGCACCCTGTGTTTTATCAGGGAAAGTCTTGAGGCTCAAACTGGGCCCCTGGCCCCCGGGCTACAACAACAACGACAACAACAACAACAATCACTTTACCCGAACGCTCAGTGTTCTCACCAGTGCCAGGGTTTTCATGCGACGCCAGCCAATACCCCCACTTTGTGGGGGGGCAGTGCAAGCTCTACCAAATATCCACACGACTCTTCGCCACCACCCACACCCAGCTTCCCGCCCTATGACGTTCGGACACTTCACTTCGTGGCCTGCGGACGACCGTGGCTACTACACTGGCGTGGAGTACACACCCACAGAAGTTGTTAAGCCTACGTTCGTACACCCACAGAAGTTGTTAAGCCTTGTTAACCCACAGAAGTTGTTAAGCCTTCCACAGAACATCTGTTGCATATGATGCATATGGTACATGATACACATGATACACATGATACGTACTCACAAGATAGTTGATCACATCTTTAGGGCAAATTCCTGAGGGATGTGGGAATACACAAGAGAGAGAGGATATGGTTGTCCCGATGGTTGTCTCGATGGTTGTCCCGATGGTTGTCCTGATGGTTGTGGTTGTCCCGATCGTTGTCCCGATGATTGTCCCGATGGTTGTCCTGATGGTTGTGCTTGTCCCGATCGTTGTCCCGATGACTGTCCCGATGATTGTCCCGATGGTTGTCCTCACGGCGGGCTCCTGGGGCCTCTTGAAGGCCTCCTGGGGCAACCTATGGCGCAACCAGTAGGGGGACGTTTTATTCTCGGCGGCCGAGGGCGCAACCTATGGCGCAACCAATAGGGGGGCGTTTTATTCTCGGCGGCCGAGGGCGCAACCTATGGCGCAACCGCAAGGGATTGTGGCCCCTGGCAGGCGCGCGAACCCCGTTGCAAGAGCGTGCGAAAGTAGCTCGCGCGAGCTCATGTAACATAAATGTTGGAAAACCATTGGTTTTTTTAGGATTCGGACAGCGCGCGCGGGTAGAAATTTTGAAAAGTCGTGCAGGTGTTTTTCGAGGACCTACGGTGCGATTCGTGTGATTTTATGATGCGCGGTGCTAAAATTCTTAAGAAGCCCAATGGTTTTTGGAGATTTCGGCGTGCGCGCGCGAAGAAAAAACGAATGTGTCCCGCATGGTATTATTTGACAGGGATGATGGCCCTGGCAGGTGCGCAACCGTTGTCGCAGAAGTTCGAAAAAGTTGCTCGCAAAAGCCCGTTTGACAGAAATGTTTAAAAAGTGTTGGGTTTCCTACGAATCCGCAAGAGCGCGCGGGATGAGATTTTGACATTTTTTGTTGAAAAACCATTGGTTTTTTGATGTTTTTATGTTAAAATCGCTGCGAACACTAAGGTTTTGGAAGGATTTCGTCTTGCGCGCGCGAATGTCCACTTTACCTTATTTTTTGCAAGGGATTCTTGAAATTTGATTATATTAGAACAAGAAATGTCATTTTCTATTGTTTTTTGCAAGGGAAAGCGGATTACAACAAAACAACCGGATCCTGTACACACCCTCTTTTCTGAGGCTTCCTCACGAAAATGATGAAAATGTAGCTGCGGCCTAGGCGGCGCAGGGGGGGGCGCGCACCAGGGGGCCCAACAATAATTATTCTTTAGAATAAATAATGTTCAACAACAACAACAACAACAATTACTAGCACGTGGGGACACTCCGTTCTCACCAGTGCCAGGGTTTTCATAGGAGGCGGGCAATACCCCCACTTTGTGGGGGGGCCGGTTCAAGCTCTACCAAATTTCCAAACGACTCTTCGCCACCACCCACACCCAGCTTCCCGCCCTATGACGTTCGGACACTTCACTTCGTGGCATGCGGACGACCGTGGCTACTATTCAGGGCCCCGCGGCCGACGACGACGGCGTGCGCGCGCGAAGAAAAAACGAATGTGTCCCGCATGGTATTATTTGACAGGGATGATGGCCCTGGCAGGTGCGCAACCGTTGTTGCAGAAGTTCGAAAAAGTTGCTCGCAAAAGCCCGTTTGACAGAAATGTTTAAAAAGTGTTGGGTTTCCTACGAATCCGCAAGAGCGCGCGGGATGAATTTTTGACAATTTTATATTCTATATATATATATATATATATAATATATTATTATATATATTAAAAATGGTTTTTTGATGTTTTTAGGTTAAAATCGCTACGAAAACTAAGGTTTTGGAAGGATTTCGTCTTGCGCGCGCGAATGTCCACTTTACCTTTTTTTTTTTTTGCAAGGGATTCTTGAAGTTTGGTTATGTTAGAACAAGAAACGTCCACTTTAGCTTTTTTTTTGCAAGGGAAAGCGGGCCGTAACAAAACAACCGGATCCGGACCAACCCGTTTTGCTTGAGACTTCCTCACGAAAATGATGAAAATGTGGCTGCGGCCTAGGCGCGGCGGGGGGGTCGTGCACCAGGGGTCCCAACAATAATTATTCTTAAGAAGAAATAATTTTCAACAACGACAACAACAACAACAACAACAACAACAACGGCTCGCGCATCAGACTTCCTCACAATTTAGCCAGGACCCCCGCTCCCGCCCGAGACTTCGTCGCATTTTATTCAGGAATCGCGCTCTCGCTTTGGACTTCGTCACGATTTACTCAGGTATCGCTCTCCTGGCGCTCTGGAGTCGCGCTCTCGCTGGAGACATGGTTGCAATTTACTGAGGAATAGCGCCCTGGCGTTGGAATTTCCTGCAATTCACTCAAGCGCCGCGCTCCCGGCACCCAGGCACCCAGGAGTCGCGCTCACGCTTAGGACTCCCTCACAGATTACCTAGGAATCGGGATCTCGCTGCCCTTCGTGGCCCCGTTACAGCCCTTCGTGGTCCCCTTGCTGTGTTTCGTGGCCACGTTGCGGCCCTTCGTGGCCCCCTCGCTGCCCTTCGTGGCCCCGTTGCAGCCCCTCGTGGCCTTCTCGCTGCCCTTCGTGGCCCCGTTGCAGCCCTTCGTGGCCCCTCGCTTTGTTTCGTGGCGCCGTTGCATCCCTTCGTGGCCCCCTCGCTGCCCTTCGTGGCCCCGTCCTTGCCCTCCGTGGCCCCGTTGCAGCCCTTCGTGGCCCCCTCGCTGCCC